TAAGGTAATTTGTATGGGTCAAAAATCGTTTTGAGCTTTATCAGGACTAAAATCGAAACACCTACTATATGGCTCAATGCCATGACCCAATTTTGATTGGGCATACTTTAAGATTCATGCCTTGGGCCAACCTATTACACCAGCTAGACAACTAACGAGTTGGACCTTCCAAATTACTAGGGCCTTGCCGTTAGTCCATTTGGGCTAAAGCCCATTGGACCATGGTCGCTCCACAGAACCTAGAGTTCTGTTCATATCGTAATTCGTTTACATCATATTTTATCTTTTTAATTCATCCAAGATCCCAATCTTATATGAATTAGGACTCTTATTCCTACAAATGCAAGTAAATCAAGACTGTCATAGTTACTCAAACTTTACCAATATGAACTCAGAGTTCAACTATATGATTCAATCTCCTAAGCTCACTATATAAACAGAGGTCATGCCTCTCATTCAATATTTAATCTCAATATCACATACTTGCTCCTAAGAATCACCTTCACCGTAGTTCTTGTCCCCTTAGCCCTCACTAAATAGTCATTTTCAATTTTGTTGACTTGAATGTCGAAATGCCTATGGCAGACATCACACCGGTGTTCTCGTGAGTTTCACGCTTGTTTTTTTGTATGTGTAAATTCAGCAGATTGTTAGTGGCCTTAACCTCATAGGATTAGTCTATTTCGTAACCATAGATTTTTACCGTTTACATAATTGAAATGCAATAATAATGTTGTCTGGCCATGGAACGCAATTGAGCTCATATATATAAATTACTGTTAGTAATTATCATCATAGGAATATTGCGTTTTTTTGACATTTATTTCGAAGTAGCAATACGTCGAAAATGTCACATATATCGACGCCATAAAGCGTTGCTAAGCATGAAATATCTCTCTGCGAAATTTGCACTGCTAGAAAGTTGTTTTACAATGCCAACATGCATCGTAATATAGCATACCGTCGAAGTAGATTAAAATGGCTATCCCGACGCAGACCTTGCGTCGCAGGAGGTTACACTTCCATGTATCGACGCCATAGAAAGTTGTATTACAACGTGATGTATGTGTAATTAGCCATATCGCATATGTGTCTGATTTAAGCCATGTTTATTTCATGGAATATATATCGCATATGTTTTTTAACTGATCAGTATCGACTAAAAAGTTGCCCAGTCACCGAACCAAATTCCCACCACCAACAAATATAAAAGTTCAAATATATATCATTAAGTCAAAAGAAATTATAAGAAATATTTGTTTGGTTCCATCAAAGAGATTGCATGACAAGAGCAAGATTCACATTTTTTTTTTTGTTTGGAATCAAGTAATGCAAGTAGTATTTTACACATGGTATTTCAAGTAATGCAAGTAGTATTTTACACATGTTTTATATATATATATATATAAAACAATGCATAGTCCTCTTAATTGATAAAAATAATTCAAAAAAATAAACCAATTTACAAAATAAAAGGATATATGTACATATATTGCAAAAGAAGAAATTTATGATAATAATAAATACAAATATTGTAAGTATTTTTGTCAAATTATGAATTTAATATAATAACACTGACTTTTGTTATCATAACATCACTTCGTTAATGCACAATCATTTTGTGTTTTTTTTTTGGTGTCATGACACTGAGTGTTGTGTGATGACACTTGCTTAGTCAGATTTTATATACACATGTTGTGTCTCCATTTGATGTTAGAATTTTTATTCGGTTTGCTTTATTGTGGTCCACATAAAGTTTGATGAAAGCTTTCCCAAAATGGCTAAACACAAAAAAGGTTGTCTGTTGGCTGTCCCCTTGCATTGGTGTGTAAGTTTCTTTATATTCGTCTTCTCCAATGTATTTTTTTTCAAGCCTGAATATACCTTTGAAAGTTCTTTTGCATATTCTTTAAGGTTTTTCTTTTTTTTTTTTTTTTAGGCTAGCATAATACTTATGTGCTCTGCGTTCTTTAGCATTGAGTTACCTTTCCCGTTTGCCTAATAAACCTTCCATGATCGGAAGATTCGTTTTAGTAACATGTCTTTTTACACATATATGGAAATGTTTCGGCCTAAAATTCTTTTTACCGAATGATCCTTTCGTTTTATATGGTTTTTCCAACCTTGATGTAGTCAATTTTGGAGTCACACCTATTGTCCTAGCACTCCATCAAAGTTTTGACAACAAGATTCATTAAACTCAAGCCTTTTAGCCTCTTTATCCAATTTGGCGTTATATGGTTTTTCCAACCTTGAGTTTAGTCGAATTTCTGGACTCACAGCCATATTGTCCTAGTACGCCATCAAAGTTTTGACAACAAGATTCATTAAACTCAAGTCTTTTAGCCTCTTTATCCAATTTGGCGTTCAAATATCCTATCTCATGAGTTGTCTAATAGCTTTATCCTTCCCCAAAGAATCAACAACCTGATTCTTTTGACTAGAAGCTTAAACGCCTTGTTGCGTGCCTTATCCATGTGGGGAAGCTTAGCAAATAAAGTATTTTCATGACTTCCTGTGTGCCACTAGGCAATTGATAGAAAATCGTCATATTGCAGATGAAATTTTCAAACAGACATATGTCACAAAGCCTAAGCTTTGTCAAAGTTTCTAAGGCAACTATCTCTGTGAAATCTAATGGTTATGGTTATCCATCTAAATTCTAGACGAGATATCCTTGAAGAGTGCAAAAATATCCTGCTTCTTCAAGTCCCTTACAGTATCACAGACCGTACCAGCTTTTAAACTTCTCGGAAGCTTCCTGCAGTGTGTATCTCAGAAATCTATAGGTATCACTAAGTTCAAACCCTTATTGACATGAACCCAATTACAGTTTCCATGCCTCAAGCATCCATAAAATTGTGACAATCGATGTTTAGGAAACTTCCAGACGGTATCTCCACCATTCTAGGTATTCCCCCAGTATAAATTCCGACCTTATCTTTGTGGCATAAGTTTGTTTATATTCGGGTTTGGAGATTTCCTTAAGAAATCCTTCGAAAGAATTTAGGGTTACGATTCCTAAGCGGTCATCGGTGAACTCAGATTCCTTGAGTCTAGATATTAGTGATCGAGTCTGCCTTTTCAGGTCTGGAGTAATTTCAAACCTCCAGTTCTTCCCATTCCTTGTTTCTTCATTTATCCTATTATACTTGATGATTCTTTCAATATCAAAGTAGAAATTTCTGGAGATCGACCTTCTGTTGCCATCAACTTTAGAAACAAGCTTCTTCCTTTACTCCTTTCATAAAGAGCTTTTCCGCCTTTTCCCAATCACCTTGGGTTTCTTTGGCCACGAAATGCATACCCTGGAGGTAGTCCAAGATATATTTCCTGCAGACTTGCTGCAAACTGATCCAGAACGTCTTGAAAACCCATGGTCAATCTGAATTAATTCTTAAGCTAGGTGTAGAATCCAACTCTTTATATGTTCAAGATTCAGATCCGGCTAGGATTGCTGTACCATAAGGAATTACCAATTCAGCCTTTTAACTACGTATTCTGAAGTTCCATCTCGGCAACTTCAATGGTTGAAATTCGGCAGATAAAGCACAAAATCTTGTGCACCCTTGACTAAAGGCTTTTTGGATAACATCCAAAAGTCGCTTTACTCCTAGCCAAGTCAGATACTCTTCCGAATATCGGTTTTCGTTACAGAGGTCTAACACAACCGTTTAACCTTTGTTCCGTATACCCTTCAATAGGGCACCTACTCGATGTCACTTAGAACCAGGAACTCCTATTTTACTGACAGCAAAATAGTTAGGATGCGTTCTAGTGTCTTGACCTTTTGAAGTGCAGAATGACCTTTCATATTGTTTTCCAATTTGGGTCAATTCTTTGTTAAGCAAATATACGATACACCGTAAATTTACTCTCCTGTCTAAGTTATCAGCTTTTGGTTCAAAAGCTCTAAGTACATCTTCCAAGCCTTCAGCTTTAAATATCCACTTAGAGCGTTTCTCAAAAACCTCTCTAGGTGTTAACCTCGGAATTACCCAATTGTCAGGGTTACCCGAGTGATCCTCGTAATTAGATGATGAACTAATTACCGAGTTAGGGTTTTCATCTTCATTTCTAATTGGGATAAGATCATCCTCATCACCAATACCGCTATTCTTAGGATATTCATTTAGACTACTAGTCTTTTGCATGAATATTCCTATGCGTTGCAGATTTGAAGATTGTTCCTCAAAAGTAAAATCTTTTGAGTCATCCTCTGAAGAATCTGAATCATCAGAGTAATCCGAAATTAATTCATAAACCTCATCTTCAGAATCAATTTCGTATCCCCACACTGGCTCAAATTCAGAAGTTTGGCTTTCCGCGTTGACTTTCAAAAATCTTACCGCAGCCTTCTTCTTTCCCTTATGAGGGCATTTATCCGCAAAATAATTCTTGTCACCACAAATCCAGCAACAATTACAATCTTTTGCGTTTTTGCCAGATGGGCAGGTAGCACAAAACTGGCCGGGGCTCACGGTGGAGACGATTGTTCTGCGAAGCTTTGGCCTGTGAGGGACGTGATCATCTTCGACCATGCGGAGAGTTTATGTGTGGTTAATTAATTGAGTATAAATAAATAATTATTATATTACACAGTATACATCTATAGGAGGGAGCTCTATTATGATATTCCAGGGGCTTATATTTAAAAGTATTTTGTTGGCAAATTTAATGATTAATACCAAACATACATCATTTTTATATAACATTTCTCATATAACATTATATAGTAAGATATGATTGATTAATTTAAAGTTAAAATTAAATTTTTATCTAATCACATCTTGCTACAGTATAGGAATGATGTATGTGTAGTATTATTCAAATTTAATTCTTTCCGAGAACCGGTGGGAGACTTTGAGACTTAACATTCTCTTGGGTGCGGGAAGAAATTAGCCCTTTCAAATAAAATTTTTACTGGAAAGTACAAAAAAACTTAGGGGTAAAAAATAATTTACCAAAATTTATATATGCAACTAAATCGCAAACTAACATTTGCGTTTCAGTGGCAAATACCTCCTAAGCCGACGTCGTTTGGCGAGAACTCTGATTCTTCGCGTCCACTTTCCACCGCCAACTCTCAGTCGCCGGACGATTACCGCGCCGATTCCGGTAATTCTATCTCTCTATACTCGGCTTCTGTTTGGCTGCCGACGAGTTTCAAAAAAAAGAAAAAAAACAAAAGCGATTTCTTTTTCGCTGAACTCTTGAAAATGTTCGAGTTATTAATACAAAGTAGTAATAAATTAGCCACTGAACGTGTTCAAAATGTTGACCTTCTAACTCTTTGAGTTGATATTTATTTTTGTACGAAATTATAGGTAATTACACGTAATGTTAATTTGAGGAGATTGTCAGTAGAAATTTTTAATTTTTAATATTTAATGCTGAATGTGATTGTATTTTGTCAATGTTTGTATTGATGCTTGTTAGATTTTTCAGATTCTGATTAAAAAATCCTAATAACTAATATGAGAAAGAAGAACGAAATTCAAATATGAATCTTTTGACATATTGGTAATAGAAGAATTGTAACATAAAATCTGTAACTTGCAGTACAGGAATAAAATATTATTGAAAGGTATTGTAGAATGAGCCTTTGTACTTGTATCTGTTATTGAAACTAAGCTCAATATATAATTTCAAGTTGGAGTTCAATTTTTGTATAAAATGTAGTTTATAGTCAGTGTTAATTTATGTATGTTGTATTACTATGTTTACGAATAAATAAGAAAAAAAATCTAAACGAGTGTATGTTTATACATGTGTATGATTTACTGAATTTGGATTTCTATTTGGTTGTATCTATATTAGACTTAACTTAGTTTGGTTAATTGTTCGAATTGGACTCACTGGTTGAATTTTGTAATCAGAATATATTGAGTTAGATTACCTGTTGATATTTTGTTGTTCAAGTCAAGTTCTTTACTTGTAATCATTTTGGTTACTCTGGAAAGCTTTTATGAAACTATGTACTAACAGTGGGTTTTGCAGTTGTACCATTGACAATTGGGTACCCTCCCCTTGACATATACTTGCATTTGCCTTCAATGGCAACAGTAGATGCTGCACCACCTTTGGATATTTTAGGTACTTGATCACATTTCCATATGCAATTATCATTGTATTCTTTTTATTGTCTCACAATAATCTTCCACATTCTCCAGTTCGAGAACCGGAGGGTTTCTATGTTTGGGGTGGACCACCTTTCAATAATGGTCAACCCAGTATGAAGCTGGAGAAAGTTCCATGCACCAAAGTGAAGTTCAGTGAGGATGGATCCAGGCTCATGGTGATGACATCTGAATCTGGTATTGGCATATATGATTGTTGCAGCTTGAAAGAGATAAAATCTTTTCAAGTCCCCGCTGTTGGTGCCACCTTGTCACCATGTGGGACTTATCTTCAAACATTCCAGAAATCTTTGACACCACAGGAAAAGAATTTGGTCTTATGGAAGACAGACACTGGGGATGCTGTATATAATCTATTTCAGAAGCACATGACAAAAGACACATGGTAATTATAATTATTGGCAAGGTATTTTGTTTTGGTGGAAAATCAAAATTTTCAATCGTTTTTAATATCATGGTGGCTCATTGGGATTCATAATTTTTCTGTTTCCTGATTTGAGTATACCAGCTTAAACATGATGCCATAATGGAGGATTAAGAGTCTGAAATTGTGTTCTTTGGTGTGTGCACGTATGTGCGTGTATTTTGTTATTACGTTTTTTGGTGTTTTCAATAGTTGTGATGCTTTTACTTCAGGCCATCAATCCGATTTAGTTCAGATGAAGCTGTTGCATGTCGGGTGGCCACAAACGAAATACAATTTTTTGATGCTAAAGATTTTGCTAAAGGGATTTTATATCGGCTGAGAATCCCTGGAGTGGCAGCATTTGAGCTTTCTAAGGCACCTGGGACACATGTGGCAACATTTGTTCCGGAATCTAAGGTTTGTGCTTAATGGTTTTGGGCTCAGTCTAGGAGCTCATTTCTATCTGTATGTTTCAGATTGGGTGACTAGTGCATTATAGTAAGGTCCAGGGTGTGTAAGGTTAAAATGAATTAACTAATGCATTATCGTAAGTTCCTGGGTGTGTAAGGTTAAAAAGAATTAACCATTGCATTACAGTAAGGTCCTGGGTGTATAAGGTTAAAAAGAATTCATTGTAAGAAGTCAGTCTTAGAAAGATATTCTAAGTTAATATTTTATTTATATTATTGTGTGATAGGTGTAAAAAGATTTTCTAAGTTTGACTTGCAACCATGTAAGATTTAAATATTGAGTAAAGCATCAAGTTCAATTGTGTTAGAAAGAGAGAGATTGCTTGAAGCTTAAATTTTGTTGAATAATCTTGAATCTGAAACTGCCAAAAGTTTTGACTGGATAGATTTAGTCTGATTATCAATATTAAGGAAATGTTATTACCAGTCTATATATGTGGTATATTGGGGTTTGTAGATCCAATATAGGCCTGCATTCTAGTTACTGGGATGATTTGCATTTCTTGGTCGGTGGCATATAGAAATTCAATCGATGTTTTAATTTTTTGTAAGTGATTTCTCTTTTAAAAGTTTCTTTTATGTTGAACTCATCAGATAGAACTATTGCTTATTAAAATTTAGGGAAGCCCTGCCAGTGTCCAGATATATGCTTGTGATAAAGATCCACAAAGTCAACCCCTTGCTCGCAAAAGCTTTTTCCGGTGTTCCACGGTGCAACTGCTTTGGAATCATGGTTCAACTGGGCTTCTAGTTGTGGTGCAGTCAGATGTTGATAAGACCAATCAAAGTTATTATGGGGAGTCAAAGCTAAACTACCTAACAACGGATGGAACTCATGAAGGCCTTGTGCCCCTTCGTATGTACTATTTTTATCTATGTAAATCTGATGATTCTTGGACATTATTCATCGTTTGATATGTTGGCAGGTAAAGAGGGGCCTGTTCATGATGTTCAGTGGTCACATTCTGGTTCAGAGTTTGCTGTTGTTTATGGTTGTATCCTTTTATTGTTACAAAAATTAAATCTGAGTGAAATTTAGCTACTATTCTACGTTATCTGGAGGGTATATTGAGAATCAAAAGTATGTGCACGTCAACAGGCATATGTTGACTAAAATTAGAAAATTGGTTTTGACTTTTGAGACTACTCAATGAGTTATATTTTTTTAATATATTTAATATATTGTGATTTATGACTTAGATGTGGTAAAGCTTCTCCACTTGTGGGCTCTATGGTCAAACTACTAGTGAGGTTTAGATGGAAGTTTTTTATTTTCTAACTTTTAGAAACCTTGTTCTTCTTTTCTGTGGAGGGAGGTGGGGTATTGACCATAAACACTTCAATTTTAATCCTTTCTGCAGTCTTTTTTGGGAATATTGTGCTGTCCCAATTACACACTATACATATATAGGAGAGAGCTCTATTATGATATTTCAAGGGCTTATATTTAAAAGTATTTTATTGGCAAATTTAATGTGTAATACTACGCATACATCATTTTTATACAACATTTCTCATACAACATTATGTGGCAAGATATGATTGACTAATTTAAAGTTAAAATTAAATTTTTACCTAATCATATCTTGCCACGTAATATTGTATAGGAATGTTGTATGTGTAGTATTATTAAAATTTAATACTTTATGAGAACCGGTGGGGGACTTTGAGACTTAACATTCTCTTGGGTGCGGGATAAAATTAGCCCTTTCAAATAAAATTTTTGCTGCTTCAGTACAAAAAACCTTAGGGGTGAAAAATGAAATTTACCAAAATTTATATATCCAACTAAATCGCAAACTAACATTTGCGTTTCAGTCGCAAATACTTCCTAAGCCGACGTCGTTTGGCGAGAACTCTGATTCTTCGCGTCCACTTTCCACCGCCAACTCTCAGTCGCCGGACGATTACCGCGCCGATTCCGGTAATTCTATCTCTCTATACTGGGCTTCTGTTTGGCTGCCGACGATTTTCGAAAAAAAGAAAAAAAACAAAAGCGATTTCTTTTTCGCTGAACTCTTGAAAATGTTCGAGTTATTAATACAAACTAGTAATAAATTAGCCACTGAACGTGTTCAAAATGTTGACCTTCTAACTCTTTGAGTTGATATTTATTTTTGTACGAAATTATAGGTAATTACAGGTAATGTTAATTTGAGGAGATTGTCAGTAGAAATTTTTAATTTTTAATATTTAATGCTGAATGTGATTGTATTTTGTCAATGTTTGTATTGATGCTTGTTAGATTTTTCAGATTCTGATTAAAAAATCCTAATAACTAATATGAGAAAGAAGAACGAAATTCAAATATGAATCTTTTGACATATTGGTAATAGAAGAATTGTAACATAAAATCTGTAACTTGCAGTACAGGAATAAAATATTATTGAAAGGTATTGTAGAATGAGCCTTTGTACTTGTATCTGTTATTGAAACTAAGCTCAATATATAATTTCAAGTTGGAGTTCAATTTTTGTATAAAATGTAGTTTATAGTCAGTGTTAATTTATGTATGTTGTATTACTATGTTTACGAATAAATAAGAAAAAAAATCTAAACGAGTGTATGTTTATACATGTGTATGATTTACTGAATTTGGATTTCTATTTGGTTGTATCTATATTAGACTTAACTTAGTTTGGTTAATTGTTCGAATTGGACTCACTGGTTGAATTTTGTAATCAGAATATATTGAGTTAGATTACCTGTTGATATTTTGTTGTTCAAGTCAAGTTCTTTACTTGTAATCATTTTGGTTACTCTGGAAAGCTTTTATGAAACTATGTACTAACAGTGGGTTTTGCAGTTGTACCATTGACAATTGGGTACCCTCCCCTTGACATATACTTGCATTTGCCTTCAATGGCAACAGTAGATGCTGCACCACCTTTGGATATTTTAGGTACTTGATCACATTTCCATATGCAATTATCATTGTATTCTTTTTATTGTCTCACAATAATCTTCCACATTCTCCAGTTCGAGAACCGGAGGGTTTCTATGTTTGGGGTGGACCACCTTTCAATAATGGTCAACCCAGTATGAAGCTGGAGAAAGTTCCATGCACCAAAGTGAAGTTCAGTGAGGATGGATCCAGGCTCATGGTGATGACATCTGAATCTGGTATTGGCATATATGATTGTTGCAGCTTGAAAGAGATAAAATCTTTTCAAGTCCCCGCTGTTGGTGCCACCTTGTCACCATGTGGGACTTATCTTCAAACATTCCAGAAATCTTCGACACCACAGGAAAAGAATTTGGTCTTATGGAAGACAGACACTGGGGATGCTGTATATAATCTATTTCATAAGCACATGACAAAAGACACATGGTAATTATAATTATTGGCAAGGTATTTTGTTTTGGTGGAAAATCAAAATTTTCAATCGTTTTTAATATCATGGTGGCTCATTGGGATTCATAATTTTTCTGTTTCCTGATTTGAGTATACCAGCTTAAACATGATGCCATAATGGAGGATTAAGAGTCTCAAATTGTGTTCTTTGGTGTGTGCACGTATGTGCGTGTATTTTGTTATTACGTTTTTTGGTGTTTTCAATAGTTGTGATGCTTTTACTTCAGGCCATCAATCCGATTTAGTTCAGATGAAGCTGTTGCATGTCGGGTGGCCACAAACGAAATACAATTTTTTGATGCTAAAGATTTTGCTAAAGGGATTTTATATCGGCTGAGAATCCCTGGAGTGGCAGCATTTGAGCTTTCTAAGGCACCTGGGACACATGTGGCAACATTTGTTCCGGAATCTAAGGTTTGTGCTTAATGGTTTTGGGCTCAGTCTAGGAGCTCATTTCTATCTGTATGTTTCAGATTGGGTGACTAGTGCATTATAGTAAGGTCCAGGGTGTGTAAGGTTAAAATGAATTAACTAATGCATTATTGTAAGTTCCTGGGTGTGTAAGGTTAAAAAGAATTAACCATTGCATTACAGTAAGGTCCTGGGTGTATAAGGTTAAAAAGAATTCATTTTAAGAAGTCAGTGTTAGAAAGATATTCTAAGTTAATATTTTATTTATATTATTGTGTGATAGGTGTAAAAAGATTTTCTAAGTTTGATTTGCAACCATGTAAGATTTAAATATTGAGTAAAGCATCAAGTTCAATTCTGTTAGAAAGAGAGAGATTGCTTGAAGCTTAAATTTTGTTGAATAATCTTGAATCTGAAACTGCCAAAAGTTTTGACTGGATAGATTTAGTCTGATTATCAATATTAAGGAAATGTTATTACCAGTCTATATATGTGGTATATTGGGGTTTGTAGATCCAATATAGGCCTGCATTCTAGTTACTGGGATGATTTGCATTTCTTGGTCGGTGGCATATAGAAATTCAATCTATGTTTTAATTTTTTGTAAGTGATTTCTCTTTTAAAAGTTTCTTTTATGTTGAACTCATCAGATAGAACTATTGCTTATTAAAATTTAGGGAAGCCCTGCCAGTGTCCAGATATATGCTTGTGATAAAGATCCACAAAGTCAACCCCTTGCTCGCAAAAGCTTTTTCCGGTGTTCCACGGTGCAACTGCTTTGGAATCATGGTTCAACTGGGCTTCTAGTTGTGGTGCAGTCAGATGTTGATAAGACCAATCAAAGTTATTATGGGGAGTCAAAGCTAAACTACCTAACAACGGATGGAACTCATGAAGGCCTTGTGCCCCTTCGTATGTACTATTTTTATCTATGTAAATCTGATGATTCTTGGACATTATTCATCGTTTGATATGTTGGCAGGTAAAGAGGGGCCTGTTCATGATGTTCAGTGGTCACATTCTGGTTCAGAGTTTGCTGTTGTTTATGGTTGTATCCTTTTATTGTTACAAAAATTAAATCTGAGTGAAATTTAGCTACTATTCTACTCTGTTATCTGGAGGGTATATGGAGAATCAAAAGTATGTGCACGTCAACAGGCATATGTTGACTAGAATTAGAAAATTGGTTTTGACTTTTGAGACTACTCAATGAGTTATATTTTTTTAATATATTTAATATATTGTGATTTATGACTTAGATGTGGTAAAGCTTCTCCACTTGTGGTCTCTATGGTCAAACTACTAGTGAGGTTTAGATGGAAGTTTTTTATTTTCTAACTTTTAGAAACCTTGTTCTTCTTTTCTGTGGAGGGAGGTGGGGTATTGACCATAAACACTTCAATTTTAATCCTTTCTGCAGTCTTTTTTGGGAATATTGTGCTGTCCCTTGACCTATAATAGTTATGCCCGCAAGTGCTACAGTGTTTGACAAGAGGTGCAGACCTCTGCTAGAGCTTGGAAGTGGCCCATACAACACTATCCGATTGAATCCTAAGGGAAAGTGTATCCTTTACTATTTTTTTGCTTTATATTTTTGTGGTAAATTTGGTTCAAGAAATTTGAAGCAGCTGAGTTATTACCCTTTTCCTATTTGTTTTGTGGCCTTAATTCTCTGGTTTGCAGTTTTATGTTTGGCCGGTTTTGGGAACTTACCTGGTGATATGGTATGTTTATATAGATGACGATTTTTATTTGATATTTCTTTTGTTTGTAAAGTCATTTGAATTTGCCCTTCTTCCTTTGATTGGTGATTTGTCTATCAATGAGAGCATTTTCACACATTATAATTTCAAAAAATAATAAAAAATTCACTATCGTTTCCATCAATGTTTTAAAACCCAACCCGGGATGAAACTTGGTAAAGTTGTTGGGTCCCAGGTTGACCGGTTTAACCGGTTTGACCACTGGTCAGACCAGCTGACAAAATTTCTTAAAATTTAACAAATACACCCCTGAAAATTAAGTTAAGTCCCTATAGGTTTGAAATTTAGCAAACACACCCCAAATACAAATCGGCCGGTGACTGGTTGGCTGCGGTGACACCCCAAATGGAACCCCAATCGTCTCTTGAGCCTATTCCCCTGAAAATGTACTTAAGATCTGGTCGATATCGGTTCGATTTCGGTCAAATCTCACCGACGTTGTTGGCACTCCAAGCCAGATCTCACCGACACCGGCGTCGACAACCCTCCCCATCAGCCCGAAAATACTTTCCTCTTCCTCCCGACCAAAACCCACCTCACTCCGCCCTCGTTAGCCTCGCCAATCGTCGGCAAAAGCCAGTTGTTTTTGCGCCAGTGTTTTTCGATTTCTGACCAATTTACTTTACTTATCAAAAATCAACTCCATCGCCATCATTACACGCACCGACACTTTCTCTTTAAAAGTCCCAACATCCCGTTCAATTGTTTGTCCATCACCATCCCTAATTCTAGGGTTTTGGGTGAATAAGAATAATGTAAACCTGACCCGGAGAAGCTTCCGGGTCCCGGTTAAACCGGCCGGGTTTTAAAACGGTGGTTTCCATTATCCTGATTAGTGATTAGCTTAATTAAATAACTATAGGGAATGCTGTCTGATGTGTCTTGACATGTGCTTCACTTTGAAGGAGCTTGTCAACCATCTTTATGTAAACCTTTTGTTGTGCTTTTTCTACTGAAAAATGGTATGTTATTGGTCAAGAAATCTTGCTGAAGAGTATTATTGGAGTTGCCTATTTTTATTGCTACTTGAAGCCTTTGAGGGGAAGAAATGCTAATTACTTCGAATAAACTAAACAAGAAATGCTAGTTTAATGGTCTTCTCTGTAGCTAATGATATTTTTTTTTTGACCTCTGTTATTTCTCTGTCACTATGGGGCTTTCTTCATGTTGGGATAGCATGCACCCTGCTTTTCCCAATGTAGTTTCTGAAATAACATTTCTTTTTATTCTGGGTAGATTTTTCCAGAAGAGTTATGTTTGTGTACTTAGATAACATCTAATAATCACTCTATGGTTGATTAAGCTATTTTGTTTGGCAAAGCTAGTCCTTCACACGTAGGAAATTTGATGGTATTAGCTATTCTGTACTGTCTTTAGTGAACTTGTATTTTTTTACCACTATTTTTCAGGCATTCTGGGACTATGAAGATAAAAAACAGCTTCGAACAACTAGGGCTGAGTTATCTGTAACAAGTGAATGGTCCCCTGATGGATGCTATTTCATGACAGCCACAACAGCTCCCAGACTACAAGTGGACAATGGGTATGTTGATCTTAGGTTATATTACTTGTGGAATTGTGCAATTTCTTCTTCTTCCTTTTTTTATTTTTTATTTTTTGGGTTGAGGATAGGGTGTCCTAGGTTCACTTCATTGCATTATAACCATGAAGAAATATTGTTTTTTAAAGTTTATTTAAATGGTCTTGTTTATGATAATTGGCATTGGTCATTGCTGAGGAAAGCCGGGTGTGTAAATGGATATCTTGTACTCGTTTGTATCCTTGGTATATAACTAATTGCTGAAATTAAAGTTTATTTAAATGGTCTTTCTGACTTGTTGAATGCTAACCTTTGAGCAGTTTAATGGCCAATCTGTAAATTTGCTTAAATTACCAATTGAATGGGAGGACATACATTTTTGTACTGAGTCAAAAATACTCTCATCATGTTGATTATTGGTTCCATAGATGCTGTGTACAGATATTTACAGTGTTGGTGAATTAATTCGACCAAAGGTGAGATTATCAGCCAATAGATCTATAGATCATTTTATGACTATAATTTTTTGTTTGTTGAAGGATTAAAATTTTCCACTATGATGGATCATTGTACTTCAAGAAGAAATTTGAGAAGTTATTCCAGGTTCGTATTGATGGTTAATGGTTGAACTGTTTGAAATGGTATTTTATCCGTTTTCCTTATTCAGCACTGCAGTAAAGTTTTCTATTTCCCCAGGCTGAGTGGAAACCAGAGTCACCAGATAGATTTGGTGATATTGCTGAACTTATTAAGTCCATTAGCACATTAAAGGTTGACGAATCCAAACAAAAAGGTTCCATCTCTTGTTTACTCTTTCAGAATTTACCTTCCATTGCTGATATTTTTGACATAATTGTTTTGCTTACTTAAGAACCCTATTCAAATTTTCAGGACCAGGGTCAGCCTCTAAAAAACCCGCTTCTGCTAACCCCCCTGCAGCAAAACCTGCCGCCTATCGCCCACCACATGCCAAACAGGCAGCTGCTATTCAGGCCGAGGTATAGCAAACTACAGCTTTGTAACGGATTTGGCTTTATTGTTTTGCACTTCATTTTTTGCTTTATGTGGTTCTAACTGTTTCAATGGTTCTATAATATGATAGCTGTTTGGTGAGAGCCCTTCACAGTAAGTACACTCTTCACTTATATATTTATTCTCCATCTATATACCTTACGCTGTCGCAATCTTAAATTGCTCATTATTCGTCACTATCATTTCAGAGAAATGAGCAAAAATGCTCTGAAAAACAAGAAGAAAAGGGAAAAACTGAAGGAGAAAAAAGCCGCTGGTTCGTGATTAAATGTCGTATTGCTGAAATGCCTCATGATAAAATGTAGCTTTGGACTTGAGAGGAAGCTGCAGCTAACCTGTATCACGATGTTCATTCAATATTCGTTCTTAATGATTTTGCCGGAAAATTTTGAGATGATTTTTGCTTATATAAGCCTGTGATTGTGTATCTGGAGAAAGCTGTATGTTGAGACATGTAACATTTTCGTTAATATTATATGCTATATTATGGAAGTTATATACATTGTGGGATGGATGAATCTTAGTCTTATATGTCTTAGAAAATAACAATGTTTTAATAACCAACCCGCGGTGAAACCGGCAAAGTGGTTGGGTCTTGAGTTGAATTGGTTTGATAGGTGAGTTAAACTGGTGTCCAAAAGTTTGAAATTTGACAAAAATACCCTTGAAAATATTGTAAGTCCTTATAGGTTTGAAATTTGACAAAAATACCCTTGAAAATATTGTAAGTTCTTATAGGTTTGAAATCTTATAAAAACACCTCAAATATCATCTCTAATGTCAACAACTCAGGCAAAATAGGGTTTGTTTTTGGCGATGACAATACTCTTCATCACCACGAAAATACTCCTCTCAACCTCTTGATCAAAACCCATCTCACCTCTCTCCTGTTAGCTTCGTTAATCATCGACAACAAGCCATTGTTTTAGTTGATTGATTTTTGCCTTTTCTGATCGATTCACTCATCGGAAATCACTTCCTCCACCACCTTTGGACTCACCGACACTCCCTCTCCACAAGCCTCAATATAATTGTTGTTGTATACTTGCCGATTGTCGTCCATAATTCTAGGGTTTATGGTGAATAGTTAAAAGTGATAATACGTTCGACGAAAGCCCCAAGTCCCGGTTGAACTAGCCAGGCCAAACCGGGTATCAAAACATTGGAAAATAGTCTCAAAATAATAAGTGGTTGATTTCATTTTTCTCTACTTGGTCAAATTTTGCTTTATATATATATATATATATATAGAGAGAGAGAGAGAGAGAGAGAGAGAGAGAGAGAGAGGAGTGCTTTAGAGACCATTAACAACACCTAGTAGTGCGCCATTCGTCAGTCCTGCGATCTACCAATTAGGAAACAGCATGTGTATGCAGCAGGATCCACTGATGAGATGAAGTCGATATTTCATACATGGAAGTAACTAAAGAAAGAAAATGATTTCCAGCCTTTATTAAAAGCTTACCCAGTATGTAACTATAAACTACATTTTTCCAGGTGGGAATCTACAGAACCACATAGTATTCATCAAAGTAAATCTCAAGTTGTTCATTTGGCTTCATGTGACCGTGCAGATAATTTATCACAGTAGAAAATAACAAAACACATGTTCTGCTTTTTCAAAGCGATAAATAGGCGATCAAGTCTGGAAAGAAACATCTTCGAAAGGTATTGAATCATAGAATATGACCAAGTTAGCAGATTCACTTAGGAGAGTATCTTCCACAGGAATAAAACAAAGAAAAAGATGAACTAAACAGCTTTTAATGGATTTAATTTTCTTGTCGCTCAAAATTTCTTGTCAGTCGTCCATGTACCTTGAACACTTGGATGCTTGGTTACATGTCTTGTCTTCAGTTTTATCACTTTTCTTCCCAATGCATTCCTTAGCCTGGTTGCTTGCAGAAGTATCTCTTCCGGAGTCAAATTCTTCACACATACCACCCGCTCGTTATGGTTCCCTGAAAATGTAGCAATAGAAACATTCATGAAACTGGGAACAAACAGTTTTCGAGAGATAAAACGCACATGCACGTGTGAGCACAGTTAAACACCTGCAGGGGAGAGTGGGGAAGAGGGAGATAGAAGACTTACTGTAAATGGCCTTCAAATGTGGATGCTGTCCTCGAATATGTTCAGTAACCACCTCGAGCTGAGGGTTGCTCTCTTTAAATGCTGGCAACTTTGACTCCATAAATGCCCTGCCATTAATAAGAAATAAACATTCAAGTCACGGTGCTGACATAACACAGATTAGCTCAGCCCTGCAGCATGGGAAAGAACATAAGGACACTCAAGAGGGGATATTTCACACTACATTCAATTCATGGCCAAACGGATATTAGTAATAAAAAATGCTTCAATTAGGTGCCAGTCCAACAACCGATAGTCCAGAAAATTAGTAATGCTGCCAAAAGTGAGGGGTCTGTAGTGAATCAACTTAAGAGTACATGACAATGTGTAAAGGATATGACATGCTAAATACAGATCTTGCTTTATCAATTATTGTCACGATGTAAGTTTCTTTGAAGGTGAAACAAAACATGCAACCAAGAGACCACCAAAACAATACAAGACCCTCAATTTAGAGTTTGCTTTCATCTTAGTGTTACCAAAACTTTTTCTATTCTCATTTATACATCAAATACAAATCACACACATACTTCACCAGTAACTTTATTCTCATTCCCAACTGACGTAAACCTACAAGCTAACAACGAAAATCCACAATAATTTCTTGCATAGCAAATTGTTTCCTTCANAGAGAGAGAGAGGAGTGCTTTAGAGACCATTAACAACACCTAGTAGTGCGCCATTCGTCAGTCCTGCGATCTACCAATTAGGAAACAGCATGTGTATGCAGCAGGATCCACTGATGAGATGAAGTCGATATTTCATACATGGAAGTAACTAAAGAAAGAAAATGATTTCCAGCCTTTATTAAAAGCTTACCCAGTATGTAACTATAAACTACATTTTTCCAGGTGGGAATCTACAGAACCACATAGTATTCATCAAAGTAAATCTCAAGTTGTTCATTTGGCTTCATGTGACCGTGCAGATAATTTATCACAGTAGAAAATAACAAAACACATGTTCTGCTTTTTCAAAGCGATAAATAGGCGATCAAGTCTGGAAAGAAACATCTTCGAAAGGTATTGAATCATAGAATATGACCAAGTTAGCAGATTCACTTAGGAGAGTATCTTCCACAGGAATAAAACAAAGAAAAAGATGAACTAAACAGCTTTTAATGGATTTAATTTTCTTGTCGCTCAAAATTTCTTGTCAGTCGTCCATGTACCTTGAACACTTGGATGCTTGGTTACATGTCTTGTCTTCAGTTTTATCACTTTTCTTCCCAATGCATTCCTTAGCCTGGTTGCTTGCAGAAGTATCTCTTCCGGAGTCAAATTCTTTACACATACCACCCGCTGGTTATGGTTCCCTGAAAATGTAGCAATAGAAACATTCATGAAACTGGGAACAAACAGTTTTCGAGAGATAAAACGCACAAGCACTTGTGAGCACAGTTAAACACCTGCAGGGGAGAGTGGGGAAAAGGGAGATAGAAGACTTACTGTAAATGGCCTTCAAATGTGGATGCTGTCCGCGAATATGTTCAGTAACCACCTCGAGCTGAGGGTTGCTCTCTTTAAATGCAGGCAACTTTGACTCCATAAATGCCCTGCCATTAATAAGAAATAAACATTCAAGTCACGGTGCTGACATAACACAGATTAGCTCAGCCCTGCAGCATGGGAAAGAACATAAGGACACTCAAGAGGGGATATTTCACACTACATTCAATTCATGGCCAAACGGATATTAGTAATAAAAAATGCTTCAATTAGGTGCCAGTCCAACAACCGATAGTCCAGAAAATTAGTAATGCTGCCAAAAGTGAGGGGTCTGTAGTGAATCAACTTAAGAGTACATGACAATGTGTAAAGGATATGACATGCTAAATACAGATCTTGCTTTATCAATTATTGTCACGATGTAAGTTTCTTTGAAGGTGAAACAAAACATGCAACCAAGAGACCACCAAAACAATACAAGACCCTCAATTTAGAGTTTGCTTTCATCTTAGTGTTACCAAAACTTTTTCTATTCTCATTTATACATCAAATACAAATCACACACATACTTCACCAGTAACTTTATTCTCATTCCCAACTGACGTAAACCTACAAGCTAACAACGAAAATCCACAATAATTTCTTGCATAGCAAATTGTTTCCTTCATTATTGTGATAGCGTGTAACACTTGCAAAATTATTGGTTTCAGTTTGGATACTACATACATACAAATGTGACTTTATATAGCAAACCAATCTCACAGTGAATGAAATAAAGATTGCAACAAAACCGTCTTACAGCTTTTTTACTAAAGATTGATGAGGTTGAACAATCTTAGATATTCATTCTACAAGAAGATGCAATAAGAGAAACTTTTTAGTTGAAACAAAAAGAAAATTGAAAAACCAACATGAGCTTAAATGGACAAGCGAATGCTTCCATTCATAAAGTACAACAACTTATAATCTTCGTTTTCACTTCTTTCACAAATAAGTATCACCGATAAATCATCGGCCTAAGAATAAATAGTTTGAGCTTCATATCATACCTGATGCCCCTGCTACTTCCTCCCCAATCACTATAGCTCACAATCAGCTTTTGAAGCTGCCACACACCTCTCAGGGCCATCTGCGCCACAAAAATAACGCGTTGATGAAAAATTTCGATAAAAGAGAATGAAAAAAATGAAGAAATTATTCATTAAACTAATAAAAACTATTTGAAGATGAACATGAACTAAATTCCTTGGATTTGACCTAAATAAAAATTAAAAGAACTTCTAAGTTTCTTGCAATGTTTTTTAACTAGAATTTGTCTCTAAGCAACCAAATAAACAACTAGGGCAAGCTCAAATTTCATACGAATTGAAATTACAATCAATGAAAAGTAATCATCAAAAAACAAGCAAGTGGGTTAAATCGAAACAATCAAAGGAAACGAAAACAAGAATAAACGCCACAAATTATCACAGAAAAAAAAAAAATCATGAAAATGCTTTCTAAAGAGGAAGCAAAAGCAACTAAACAAGAAGAATGAAAGAGAAAACTTTTGGTTCTTCGTAAACTTGCTGTTGTGAATTGAAAAAAAAAAAAACCCAGAAAGAGAACGGAATTGTAGAGAAGAAGAGAGAAGCTTACGGAGAAGAACTGACCGGAAAGCCGCTAGATTTTGCTCGCGTTGAAGAATGAAGCTGAATGGCTGCAGTGGTGAAGATACAGAGTTACGGGGTTTTGGGTTTTTGGAAATTGAGGGTCAAAAAGGTAATTTGGCTGTTTATTTAATGGGCTTGTTTGGTTCATACTCTATAAGATTTATTTTTGAAGGTAAATTTTCTAAAATAATATAAGATAGTTTTGATATTTAAAAATTATTAAAAAAAAAAAAAAATTAGAGCTTATTAGAAAAGCCTGAAATTTTAGTTTTGTTTTTTAGATGTGAAATATTTTTAATAATTCATAAGTTTTTGATTGACGAGGAATGATATTGAAAATATTCAAAAGAATGTTTAACATTAAAATAATTCATAGATAATTTAGTTATGTTTTTTAATGATATTTGTTGTTGCTTGATTTTGACATCAACGCATGTGCAAAGCGTTAAACGAACTTAGAAATCATATGTGATAAGAAAGCATGAAATGATACAATGAATAAGAAGCGATATTTAAAGTGGTTCGGATGCTCAAAAGCGAATCCTACGTTTATTGTTATTGTATTATTAGATGGGTAAAATCAGGTCACGTGTAGCGAACTAAGTTATAATCTAGAGAAAATACAAAGAGAGAGAGAATGTGCAAGCTATTTTAGACTAAGATTAGCCAATCTCACAAATGAGAAAGGGGTCCTCTATTCATAGTGGGAGAGTTCAAAGTAATGATTACAAGTTTGCAAGTGGGTTGGTGCCGTGCAAATCTTTATTTGCGTTTCATTGGTGGTCTGCACGAGAAATATCCTCAAATTGCGCAGGGCTTGGGCAGGTGGTTAATTCCTAATCACTCACAAGCCTGACACCCACCTACTGCATTAACAAGAACCATATCCCTTACGTCATTGTGCGACGTGGTAACGTCTGGACGGTATAAAACTTTCCTGAACTCTAATTGGCTCTCGCTGATGAGAGTTCACGTCAGCCCTAACTTTTCAGGTATAACAATATTATTAGGTCGATATAATTATGAATAATCATATTTTGATTAACGAGAAGAGGTATTCTTGCATATTTGATTTTTGTAGTGTACAATTGTAATATGATACATTTTGATGGCATTTCATAATAACCCAGAAAATAATTTCCGGATGACAATGCATAAGCTAATTAAGACAGGAAATGATGCATCACATTATCATCAGGCATTAACATGCCCATGAGAGCTACGAATTCATAGACAAAGGCTGTGTAATTAACAACCTAAATATTTATTACCTTCTTTTAGCCTGGTTTGTATGGATTTGTTTTTGAGTTTTATACAAGTAATTTTGGCTTAAAATATGTCTACTTAATTGAGCGATTCAAGATTTATAAATTGATCCGGACTCTTATTTGCTAGTGTGCTAGCCGTACCTTTGTGGTATCTAAGCACAATCAATCAATCATGAGACACATGTATATTATGTGTGTACCCTATAGTTGGTTGATTATACATATACGGAGGTGTGATGGACTGATGATAGTTTCCGTGAATCTGAGGCAGTTGAACAATGGTGGTTTGAGCTCTGATACTCTTAAGAGGTGTTATATCTGTTGAGACTTAGAGACATCCCATATCGTTTCGGAGGAAGGGCTTGAGCTGGTTAAATAGAAGGGGAATCCTCTAATAGTTAAGACGCGTTTTGGGTTTGAGCAAGAGTTCTTAAGGTTTAAAAATAAAACCGTGAGGGATTGAACTTCAAAATGGAATCATCCAGACTGCCAGAGCGGATAATATATTGATAGTGTTGGACCGACAGTGGACGGGGTGTTATATCTACTATATGAGCTGGTGAATTATAGGCCTCAAATTGATTCATAGATCCATTTTTCGAACTTGGAAAATGAACATAAGCGCCTCTGGCGGGGAGTCAGGTGAGATGATAATGAGGCATTGGAGTTGGGTGAGATATAAGCAGGCGAATAAACTTCAACTGTATTTATATTTTAATAATACTATACTTATAAAGAAATCTTATAAATATTTTCATACAAAGTGAGATGACAAAACATAAATAGAAAAGTGAAACAAAAAATCAAACTTATTAAATTCATCATTCCATTCATTTTTTACCACATTATTTTGTATGAAAATCTTTGTAAAATTTGTTTGTAACTGTAGTATTATTGCTCTTTATATTTAAGATAAGTATTTAAAAAAAAAAAAAAAAGAAGGTAAAAATCTGTCTTGACCTTCATTATGGTCAATGACCCCTTTCAATTAATCACAAAAAACAGCCCGTTGAGGAAGCCGCCGTCAGAAAACAGCGTTGGAGTTGGGTTAGATATGAGCAGGCGAATAAGCTTAAACTAGAATTGGATTTGGGATATTTACCTGATGAGATGTTAAGTTCATTAAGAGGTATCGTCCCCTCTGAGAGTATGATGCATGAGATGATGTTGAAGATGAAGATGAAGATGATACTATACTAAGGGTCTTCGGATGTGGACTTGATTATCAGCATAGAAAGATAGATTAATTACAAGCCGTCATGTCTCTCAGGATCTGGATTTAGGTGATCGTCTAAAAGTTCCAGGCTGGGATATTCTGCAAACAAGCTGATGATGCCCGCTGAAAAGTTTAATATTGGACCATCTCTCTTCAGTAGTTTGGTGAGGTCCCCTGCAATGTGAACTCACTGGATATCTCATAACGGTGCTCGATTGATGATCTGAGACTTCCGAGTGATATCGGACAGTTCACCCGAGAATCATTATCCGGAGAAAGGGGTTACTCTTCAGCAGTTTCCGTTGCCCTGAAAATGTTACTCAACTGGAATGACTCAAATTCGGAAACAAATCTAAATAACTTTTCTTTGCACTGGGCGGTGGCTAACTAAAGAGAAAAAAGATTAAAGAATCAAAGAAATATATACTCAATCAAACAACAGAGCTCTCAGAAGTTTCTAACTATTCATGGTTTTCGGGTCTTCTTGCAAAAACTTTACTTGATCTAAAATCAATGTATAGAAGAGAGTGCAAGTAATTTATATACAACATACAGCACATCGTCCAAACAAGAATCAACAGTTATAACATGTCACATAAATATTCATTTTTCAAAACTTGAATTTCAATGGTTGTCAAAATAGATCGAAGAAAAAAAATGTTTACATGACACGATTGATATGAACTTTATTCCCGTCATGTATATATAACGTGTTCTTTGCGCCGGAAGAAGTTATTTTTCCGCTGTGAGTACTTTCCACGCAAGGTTACCGAAATTGGTAGTATTGGTACTCGATTAAGTCATCCTTTGATTTCCTGAAGATTGCATAAATTATGGCTAGGAAGAAGCCTACAAAGCAACTCCAGTGATCTCCAGCATCACATTTTCAGGCATTAACATAGCTGTTAATGCTAAAAATGCATAAGCAGAAGCTGTGCACCCAATCCCAGAAGTGATTCTACCAGCAGCAGCAGCTCCAGGATCGTATTAGGCCAAATATTAAAGCCCCAATTGAACAAAATACAAACCCAATAGCAGTGCAAATTACAGAAAAATCCACGAGCATATTCATATTTCAGTAAAAAATCGCTTTGGTGCACCGCATTGCCAAAGCAGCGAGACCAATTGTAACCACATCATGTAGGGTGGCTTGAATCTACGCCGATAACTTTCTGATGAATCAATAAGGGTCCTTTTCCTAAACATATTGCTAATGCTATCTGAAAATCAGATAGCTTGACCTCAAATTTTTCTAGGAAGTTCCGATGGTTGGTAGCCCTACAAATTGAACGTCTGAGACTGGAATTTGCTTCACCTGAGTTCCGAAACAGCAAATTCAAGCTCCTCAGGACCAACCGAAGTTATGCCATCACAGACGGCCTGAACCTGAACCTAAAACTGACCGGACTGAGAATTCTTGACTGTGTTAACTTCTTGTACCATGGCGGAGCTTGGGAGATCAACAGTTTCTGTTGTATCTTTGGTTAACTCTATGTTTTGAACTCTCTGAAAAGATGGAATCTATTTAATGGTTAACTTTTTGTAAAACCCCATTCCTGATTTTAGTTAGATCATGAATTGTATTTAGTTAATTAATTCTTTTTTTTTTTTTTTTTTATTTGATTTTTGTATTGTGGTAAGATAGGGGTATTTCGTCAGTTTTTAAAGCTGCGTTAAGGGGTGAAATCGAAGAAATAAATCCTGATGGGTTTGCATGTATCAGAGGGAAAAATTTGGATATTTTTACTAGGGAAAGCTTAGTGGTGGGGTTAAACTGAAATTTAGAGAAAATTGGGGGGGGGGGGCAGAAAAATTTCAAAAGTGTTTGTTTAAAAGGAGAAGGAAACTGGGCAGTTCGCCCAAAGAAGAAGGAGAAAACGAGAGCAGAGGAAGAAAAAAAAAAGAAGAGAAGAAGAGAGAGAAGAGAAGAAGAGGAAAGGAGAAGAGAGAAAGATAAGAGAGAAAGATAGAAGAGAGGATAGAAGAAAGAAAGAAGAAAAAAGAAAAAAGGAGAAGAGAGAGAATGGGTTTCGGCTGAAAATGGTAGAGTGAGAGAGAAGAGTGGAGGGAGCTTCGGCTGAGTTAGAATTGTGAGTGGATCTAAATTGTTTTCTTGAAAAACTTATACTTATACCTTTGCATGTCGAGATATGATTATTGTTTTGGGCTTTGCATAAATTTCTATTCATGCATGTGTTTTGTGACATATTGTTTTATGTGGGTTCGGCTGGTGTGTTAGGATGTGTTGTTGCTAATATTTTGCTGTTATATGGAGGTTGCTGGCTTATACTGCTGCATGGTTTTGGTTGAATTCTGGAAGTTATGTTATGGGAGTGAAAAACTTGTTTACTTACCTTTGCATGTCACAGCATGGACAAGTTTTTGTGTAAATATTTTATTAGATGTATTTAGAGGGAATGAATTTTCATGTTAGTGTCATGCAAATGCATTTATAAACTCTCATGATAATAATTTTTTTTGACAATATGTAAATTTTGAGTTGGAAAAAGACTTGTTGAGAAAATGTTTGGTTTTGGTCTTTTTTAGTGGACGCTGCTTGGGTTTGGAATGGATGGGTCATTGAAGAGTGAATGGAGTTTGCATTAATTGTTAGAAATGTCAAGTCCGTA